TTGCCTTTTCAAACGCCGGGAGAGAAGACGGGCGAGGGGCCGCGTGGAGAGCGTGGAGGACTGGGGACAAGTGACCGGTGAGGAGGGCGGGGACCCGGTGGGGCCAGGCCCAGCGGGTCGGGCTGCGGGATTCGCAGCTTCCTCGGGTGCCGGCCGCTCCTCAGCCTGCGTCTGGAGGCCGGGCCGCGGGCTTGCGAAGGAGCATGAAGGCGAGGTGGGGGTGGGCGCTGGCGACCGCGGGAACAGGGAAAAGTCCCCCACCTTCCGACAGGAAAAGGGGTGCGGCGGAAGCTGAGGGCCTGGCCGCTGGGCCCAGAGGCTTGCAGGAGGGTAGGCGGGGCAGGGAGTTCACAAATGAAAGGGTAGCGCCAGGGAGCCCAGGTGCCCAGCGTCCCGGACTCTGCTCCTACCCTGTCCCCTCCCTTTTGACTCTTCATTGCGCACCGGGTCCTCAGCTGATTCACTCAGGGCCTTCAGGGCCTGACATTGTTCTATCCTCAAAGCTGGAAGCGCTGCTTTCTAGGCAGTCTAAGGTGTAGGTGATGTCGCCAGGGGACTTTTAATCCTTATCTCATTCATTTACAGCTAATCTGATTGGTTTCTTTTCAATACCGACGTGGTCTTTCCTCTGCATTTATTCTCTTATTCAGTTGTTAGATCTTCTTTTAGATCATTGGACTAAGTTTTAGTAATTACTTTTTCATGATCTTTATCTGGAATTTCATCCACTTCCTTATCTGTGGGATCCTTTGTTGGAGGATTCTAAGTGGGGGAGGGGGATTTTTTGCTTGTTTCCTCATATTTTCTGAGATCTTGGACTTTCACACCAAATGAGATGGATTTTCTTTCCTCTTTTATATATGGGTCCCTTTGTCTGTAGTTATCCTTTTGTTGGTATATTTCTGTTTCTGATATATGAGTAGATGTCCGGGAGTGGGACCTAAGGTCTCCTCTGGTTGTTCCTCCTTGGGGCTAGGTTGTTAGTTTCAGAGTTTTGTGGTTTATTTTTTATTTGTTTGTTTGTTTACTTGCTTTTAATATTTTTATAGTAGATGAACATGATGCCTTTATTTTATATTTCTGTGGTGCTAAGGGTTGAACCCAGTGTCTCATAGGGTGCCAGGCAAGTGCTCTACCAAACTGAACTGTAACCTCAGCCCCATAGTTTCATATTTTTATCTCCCCAGTTCTATGTGTTGAAGTTTTGTTGAGGCTTAGATGAGGCTCATGTATGGGGTAAGATTCACTATTTATTTGCTGAGTTGTGAGTATTGCTTGGCAGCAGGATCTCTACTCTTTGAGCTTGAAGTGTCCCAATCACTTTCCAGCCCAGCTTAGAAGAAGAGGGGAGCCAGGAATTGCTCTAATGTTAACAACAGATGTACAGCCTTAATATTAATGCCCAGTGTCTACTTTGACATCTACAACACTAACTGCCAACACTTTTTTAATATTTATTTTTTTAATTGTAGAAGGACACAATACCTTTATTTTGATGATTTACTCCTATGTGGTGCTGAGGATCTAAACCAGTGACTCATACTTGACAGGCAAATGCTCTACCACTGAGATACCACCTCAGCCCCTGCCAACACTTGCATGGAATGGTGATTCAATTTGATCATGTTAAATAACTTTTTAGAGGGCAGTTGAATTTAGTTTGCTGATTGATATTTTGTTCAGGATTTTTGCATCTTTATTCATCAAGAATATTAGCTGTGGATTAGTTTTGTGTGTGTTGTCAGGTTTGGGGATCATGGTAATGCTGGCTTTATCAAATGTATTTGAAAGAATTTATTTCTCTTCCATTTTGGGGAATAACTTAAGGAGAACTAGAAACTGTTCTTCTTTAAATATTTGATAGAACTTAGCAGTAAAGCTCTCTTGTATTGGTATTTTCTTTCCTGGAAGGCTATTACTACTGATTCAATCTTGTTACTTCTTATTGGTCGGCTCAGTTTTTTTTTTTTATTTCTTCATGATTCAACCTGGATAAGATATATATGTGTAAGTGTTCAGGAATTTGTTCATTTATTCTAGGTTACCAATTTTTTGCAAATAATAACAAACATGGATATCTTTGTTCCTAATAATCTCGAATGACCCTTTGTATTTCTGTGATGACACTTGCAATGACCCCCTTCTCTTGTCTGAATTTGAGTCTTCTCTCTCCTTTGCCTAATTAGTCCAGCTAAGATTTATCACTGTGTTTAGTTCTTGGAAGAACTCCTTATTCTATTACTCTCTTGTGCTTCTTTTTGTCTCTAATTCATTTATTTGTGCTCTGTTCTGATCTTATTATTTCTTCCTTTCTGCTAATATTGGTTCTGGGTTTGGGTACCAGACATTTTCTAATACATTTGATCAATAAGAGTCTCCCAGGCTTTCTTATAAAGCACAGGGGACTGGGCATTTCACTGGCTTTTCTATTACATCTAACCTGGCACATACACTTTTCTGAGCCACAAAGCACATACTTCGGATTCCTTCCTCTACTGCCTTTCTTTGAACTTATGGATTTTTCCATTTCTTTTAGGGTAGGATATCAATTGCAACCTGAAAAAAGGAAATCTCCTGGAATACTAGTGGCATCTAACACTCAAGCTAAAAGCTATGAACCATAATTATGAACTCTTTCTCATGCAGCTGTGATCCATCCTCATTGTGCCCACCATGACTCAGCATGCACAGTCCCTTCTCCTGCATCTGATCATTGTCTGCCAGACAGGCCCTTCCCTCACAGCAGGCCTGGCAAGGCCATTGCAAGGTGATGTGCTGCTGGGTGTAGGCATTGTTCAAAGGGCAGAGGGGAAGTGGGCCATGTCCTGGGACATGAGGTTGCTGTCCCCTCCTCCTCGAAGTAGGGGAACATGCCCACCTTAAACAGGTGGAGCAAAGAGCTTGGGAAGGGTCATTCTTGCTCTGCCAGCTCAGCCCTTCAGAGGGATAGGGAGGGGGTGCCTAAAGGGTCCTTTCTCACCAGCCCAACCCTTACTCGCCTTTTCCTTCATAGGGACTCACTCCCTTTGCTATGATTTCATCATCAATTCTAAGCCAGCACCTGGACAGCAATGGTGTACAGTCCAAGGCCAGGTGGACCACAAGAATTTTCTCTCCTATGACTGTGGCCTGGACAAGGTCAGATCCATGAGTGCCCTGGGAGGGAAAGTGAATGCCACAGTCACCTGGGAAGATCAAAACACCATGCTGAGAGAAATGGGGGATATGCTAAAACAGCAACTGGCTGACATTAAAGCAGAAAATGGCATGGCCAGGGGTAAGTAAGGATGGTCCAGGGGCATGAGAGAGCAGACTGTTGGTGTAGAGATATTTATTGTATCCAAGTTAAAAAAAAAAAAAAGGATGTTTTTCACGCTAAAAAACCCACACAAGACTGGTTTGGGGGAGAAAACCAGCCAGATTAGGAGGCCAGGGAAGGTGGTACAGGATGGACAAAGGATTTGTTAAGCATGGAGGCTGACCTCTCTCTGATGGATGCAGCTCTCGAGACCCTGGAGGGGAGGATGACTTGTCAGCATAAATCCAGTGGATGCACCAGTGGCTCCTGGCAGTTTGGATTCAATGGACGAATGTGGCTTCGCTTTGACTCAGACAAGAGAAGCTGGACAGAGGTTCATCCTGGGTCCAACTGGATGAAAGAAAAGTGGGAAAATGACAGGGAAGTGTCCGAATTCTTACACAAGACCTCAATGGGTGACTGTAGAACCTGGCTTGAGAAGTTCTTGGTGGAATGGGAACCAGAGCTGGAGCCAACAGGTAACTGGCAGGAGAGGGAGGAAGTGGGAACTGCCTTCACATGAGATGCTGCTACCTGTATGTGTGTGTGTGTGTGTGTGTGTGTGTGTGTGTGTGTGTGCCTGTGTGTGTGAGAGAGAGACACATCATCCACCTTGAGTCAGACCTGGGTTAACAGCCAAAGGTATAGTCTTCCCATCTTTTCCCTTCTCACTTCCTAATGCCTCTTCCTCAATGCACATGCTTTGGTCTGCATTTGCTCATCTCTTTTTGGAAATTATTGTGAATCACTTCACATGTCAGCTCCTGAGACCCTTCTCCACCACCATCCTCATGGGTCACCTCATATTCTGCCATCAGGAAGGATGGGAGTTGTATGTCACCCAGGCTTCTCCCTTTATCTATGTGAGCTTCTTAAGGTCAGGACCCTTCTCCTGTCTCCCTCCTCCTCATGACCTGTCACAGCAGCTGCCACATAGCAGAGGTCTAGGAACTATGTGCCTGCCTGAGTGACATGGGGCAACAGGAGCTGAGCAGGCATCTCCTCAGATTTTGGTCTGAAAAAGGGCTAACTGTCTTGTGTTTCCACTTCAGGACCTTCAACCACCACCCCAGACAGAGTCTCCCAGGAGTCCACAGCCAGCACCCTTATTCCCTCGGTCCTGCTCTTGATCCTCACCTGCTTCATCCACCTAGGCCTCCAGATCTTCCTCACAGGTGCTGTGGGCAGAATGGGAAGAGAGACATGGGGCAGCTGTGTGAGCAATGAGGACAGGAAAGTTAATTCCCAAGGTCCCACTCTGACTGGTCCTTCTCATTCTGAGATGAGACAGAAGAATCAGGCCTCCCTCCTCTCACTGGTAGCAATAGCTTGGCCATGATCAGCCCTGAGTTCTGAGAAATCCTCCCTGTCAGGGCTCATGGGAAAGAGGAGGGGCCATACCAAGGCAGCCTGTGGACTCTAAAGGGTTTTAGCTTATGCAGGTCTGACTCAGACCAGATTTCTACAAAAAAGGGACCCAGTGGTGCGTGGTGAACAGATAACAGGAACATAGGAAGGAAATACCCAATCCTGGGTGATGGCAGCAGGGTAGCTCCATTAAATTTGTTAAAATAAAGGAACTCCTTACCCACAGTCAAAAAGAGAGGTCCTATGGCTAATTCCAGGATAGGGAGCAGGAAAGGCCTTTCTCAACCAAGCGTGGAAGGCTGGAGTTCAGGGCTGCATTCCCACAGGAGGCTCATTTCCAGCTGTTGAATAGATAACTGAGAAGAGAGTCTGTCCAGGATGAAGGCAAAGGATGTCAGCTCTCTGGGGACTCCTAGGAGTCCAGAATTGACCCTTGGGCTGTGGCCCTGGAACCCGGCATCTTGCAGACTCCAGATCCTGAGGTAGCTCAGCAGCCTCTGCCTTGAGCAGAGCCTCTGCAGAGACTGGTGGGGCTGAGCAGCTGCTGGAGTCTGATGCTCCAGCTGACTTAGCCAGAGTGGAGGGAGTAGGCAGGGCCAGTCACTTTTAGAGCTCTGCTGCTCTGAGGTAAGGAGAGGTTGAGGGAGAAGGGGAAGAAAGATGTCGTCTGCAACCCCACCCAAGGCCCAGGAACCAGATTCCAGGGCCCTCTCTTTGGACAGGGTTCTCCCCATCCCCAGGTCCTATGGCCCCTCCTATCTGGAGGAGGAGCAGGCTCCCAATCAGGGAGCAGATCCAGTCATTATAGCTTCAGCCCTGAGACACCAAGGCCTACAGCAGGGCTGGGCTGACTCTGGCCTGTGAGAAAGAAGGGAGGAGGGTGGTAGAGGCTGCAGGACCCTTGGGTTGAGGGTGGAGGGGAACACATGACCCAAGGTGAGCATGGCTCTGAGACGGGGAATGCTTGGTGAGGGGTCACCTAGGAGAACTTACTCAGGATTTCTTCAGAGAGTTGGAGTAACATCTGTTTTTTTCTAAAAGTTAAAGATGCTCATCTTCTGCTAATGTACTGCCTGCTATTCCTCCATAGACAAATGAAGATGAAAGTGCAAATCCAGAGGCTCCAGCATGTCAGACTTTGGGATATGAAAAGACATCACTGTTTCTCAGGCTCCATGACTCAGATTTAGCCTTAGACCATCAGCCCTCAATCCCAGGTCTTTGGTTCAAACTGAATTAATCCCCTTGCTTTCCTGATTCTCCAGCCTGCAGACAAACACTGGAATGTCTTGACTCCATAAACCATATACTGTGGGAGACCAACCTTGCACTTGACTGAGTCACACTCCCCGGTGGGTGCTGAGGGGCTCAGTCGCAGAAATGTGGCAGCACTTTCCCCACCCTTCTTAGGTGGGAGGGTCAGTGTCTCGTGCATGGGTGTGTCTTGCTACAGCCCCATGGGTGAAGCTATGGTCACCTGTTCCTTTGTAATATAACCCTTTGCCCTGTTTAGGATAGAATATTAAATGGAAGTGCCTTGTATATGTCCCCTCCTCTTACTGTGTCTTGGGTGTGGCCTACCCAGGTGTCAGTCAACCTGCTGACAGTGGACATCATGAAGATAGACTCAGCCCCCTGAAACCTGACCCCTTGCCTCATTTGAATAGCTTCTCCTCAATAAAAGGGGTCAACTAGTGCTCTTGCTCTCTCTCTTCCTGCGGACCCTTCAGGTCAGAAGAACCCTCACAGCAACCCCAAAGAAAAATTTTGGTATTTGTGTCTCTTGTGTGGTTATTTTGCACAATCTAGTCAGCCCAGTTCAACTGGAGTAACCTCTGAGCACAAGAACAGAAACCCAGCAATAAACCAATTACTACAATAAATCCCTGGGTTCTGTTTCCCTGGAAAACCCTGATCAAAAACTTAATAGAGAATGAATGACATTTTGTGCTCTTTTCACATTGTAAACACAACCAGTGATTGTGCTAAATTTGTGTATGTAAGTAGAATTGAAGGATTAATCTTAAACTACCAGGTAGTCTAGATGTCAAATCTCAAACATTTTGCTGGCTCAAAACAAATTTTATTGTGCTTAAGGAATGAAATTTTTCCCGGTTCTACCCGAGTGTATATCACCCTTGATAGTGATTTTTTAATTATTATTAATGTTATTCCTCAACCTGACCTCACCTTTAATTAGAAGTAAGTTGTATGCCTGTAAGTATGCGTGTATATAGTGGAGTGAAAATTAAAAAAAAAAAAAACCAACAGTTCCATTTGTTCTCTTCCTTCCCCAGTAGAAAAAAACAAACAAATCTTTACATTCAAAACAAAAAGAAGAAATACACTGCACAGCAGAACACTCTCTACTTTAAAAAATGGTTTTACTTATTCAAGGATACAATCAATATTCAAAATATATGAAGAATTTCTACCAAAGTCAGTTCTTTTGACATATGGGCATATGCTATGAGCAATTCACAGCATATTATCCTGCACCAAGATTCTACAATCTGAAATAATCAGGAGCACAGATTAAAAGCACACTGGGCCATTATTACAACCATCAAATTGACAACTTCTTGCATATGTACTAAGTGAGGAATAGGAAAAGGATCAACATAGCTGTCATATTTCTTGGTCAGAACATAAATTAAATCAATCCTTTGATATGTAACTGGATAATAACCTGTACAGTTAACAATGTGCTCATGCAACTTCACAACAATATGGGCGTTATTTCTGGGTTTCCGAATGTGTTCATATAGCATTTAGATATATAGTTGCTTATTGTAGTGTGGTAGTGTAGCCAGAAAGAGTTCTGGTTATTTCATTTTTCCTAGATTGTGGTTACCAAGGTAATAGGCCTTATATCCCTGTGTGGCAAGTTAGAAAAAACATTAAAAGCATAATTTTACATTTGTGTTCCAAGTTTTTACACATTGCAACACACCTCCTCTTCATTCAGGTCATTCTGGGTTTGTAATCTGGCTTCGGTCTTGGAATTGATTGAGGTAATACAGCTGTTTTTATTATTCCAGTTAGACCTTCCCCTTGGTCTTAAACTCTTCTGTTTACTCAGATCCAGTGAGGATTTAGTAAACCCCTGGTATCTTTCACTTCCAGGGACACCATGAACTCACATCCTCGGGCTGCAGGAGTCAGACTATTCTGTTTGCTGTTTTGACTCTCCTGCCCATTACAGTAGCCCCTTTGCTCTGCAGCGTGAGTGCCATCAGATGACTCCCATTGCATTTTAGTGTCCTAATTCAGGGATGTGGGCAGGATGTGGAGACAGACAGGGTCGGCTTCATCAGGTGAGAGGTTGTAAGAGGATGTGAGGGCATCTTGCTTTCAACTCACCTAGCCAATTGACTGGCACCCATCGGACTGGAGCTGTCATCAAACTCCAGACAACCCACACCCCCATCACAACTCTAAATGAGCTCAACTTGAGCCTGTTTTGCAGCCATTCTAACATGTAATAAGTTTCTTATCTTAGCTAAGTGGGACAAATAATACAATACAACATTACATCTGAAACATGAATCAAAGGCTAAGAGAGCTTTTAACTTTCTTTTTGTGGAAAAAGTGACAAAAATGCTTCCATGTTTTACAATTTCACTTTTAAACAGATCAGGCTCTCTTTACTAGCTTCCAAAAATGCATTTAAATTCCAATTCCTTTGTGATGAGTAAAACCAAATTGTATATATAACTTATTGACAACAGGTTACTTGATCCAGCTATGAAACCTCAAATGACACGAATAAATACCAACCAAATTTGTTATTTTTATACAAATCAGAGATTTTGTTACACATAATCTTAGTTTGTAGAACACCAACTTGACAAAGCTTTGCATTTAACTAAGTGTAACTTTTAAAGTGCAATTTAGAATCCACAGTGTATGGTAACAGTAATCACAGGTCTGTAGGGGTTAACAAAATCAATAGCGTTAAATCTCTTATACATTTAGGAAACAGGGTTAATGATAAGAAATTGACTTACTCAAAGCAAACATATATAAGACAGGTCTTCAATTGAGAGCATACCCTTCAATATCAGATATAATGTATAAAAGAGAGCACTTAGTGGTTATCTTCCCATTAAACTTCAATACACTTTCATTTTATAAACTTTTACAAAACACATACACAAGGTTTAGACAGCTATGTTTTCAGACGCATACATAAACCTAGTCACATATATTTAGGGTGTCATATATATGGGTAGGTTTAAATAACAGTTGCTTATTTAACCAGTTACAAAGTAATCATTTCAGACTTTTGAACAGGTACAAACCCTAATTACCTTAGGACTTAATTTCCCCTTTCCCCAAAAAAACCTAACAAATACAAGAAAATTATCTTGATAGATAGATAGATGGATGGAAAGCTTTTCCATGCTGCAGTGGCAACCCCTCCTCCACAGAATATCTTAACCAAGCTTCTCCAGAAATCTTCACCATAATTGATTTCAGGACTATCAGCAAAAGAGACTTTACAAAAGAGTTCAATGTATGTAAACTTCCTATTTTCCAGTTGCTCAATTTTACTTGGCCATTGGCCTGGAAGAAATCAGCACTCCAGGTGCTGAACACCCCTTTACAAGTTTTTCACAAATATTTAACCAGTATAGTAGTTTGTAGAAAGTGTTTGCAAAGGCAAAATAAAACACATACTCCAAGGAGTGTTTTGGGGCATTAAAAAAAAAAAAAAGATAGATCTTTAACAAGGCCTCTGGCGTTGAGCTGGAGTTTTATGGAGATATTTACATTTCTAAGATAAGAGAAGATACCAACAGGGCTCCATGTTAACATCTGGCAGGAGGAGAGAAGAAAGTGGAGAAGAAGCTCTCCCCTTCTCAGGTGTTGTCCTTGAAGGGTTAACTTGCCCAGAACAGTGAAAGAAAAATCTACTTTTATGTGAACTTCTGCAGACTGTGAGCTCCTGAGCCCCTTCCCTTACATGCTGCATATGAAGTTCTGAAATGACCTGAACTCAGGATTCAGGGGATTAATTGATTACAGTGAAAGCTTACCCTCTAAACTTGGCTGCAGCCAAATAAAACTGTTCCCTGCTATCTTCAGTGCCCTGCCTCATCCATTCCTGCAACAACGTTTTTAGATAGGCAGAATTAATTGTCTCAAAATGGTGATACTACCAAAAGCGCTATACAGATTCAATGCAATACCAATTAAAATCCCATCATCATGGGCTGCATTTGTGGCTCAATGTTAGAGTGCTTGCCTAGCACACATGAAGCACTGGGTTTGATCCTCAGCACCATATAAAAATAAATAAGTAAAATATAGGTATTGTGTCTATCTACAACTAAAAATTTTAAAAATTAAAATATCATACATAATAGAAATAAAAAAGCACTAATGAAATTTATTTAGAAAAATAAGAGACCCATAATAGCTGAAGCAATCCTTAGCAAGAAGAGTGAAGCAGAAAGCATCACAATACCAGAACTTAAACTATATTACAGAACCATAGTAACAAAAATGGCAAGGTGTTGACAACAAAAGAGACATGTAGACCAATGGTACAGAATAGAAGACACAGTGACAAACCCACGTAAATACAGTTATCTCATAGTAGACAAAGGCCCCCAAAACACACATTTGGAGAAAAGATAGCCTCTTCAACAAATAGTGATGGGAAAACTGGATATCTACAAGCAGCAAAATGAAATTAAACCCTTATCTCTCTCCATACAGAAAACTCAACTCAAAGTATACCAAGGACCTAGGAATTAGACCAGAGACTTTATGCCTAAGAGAAGAAAAAGTAGGCCCAAAACTTCATCATGAGAGATTAGGCCCTGACTTCATTAACAAGACTCCTAAGCATAAGAAACAAAATTAAGAATCAATTAATGGTATGGATTCACTTAAAAGCTTCTTCTCAGCAAAAGAAACAATCAATGAAGTAAAGTAAGAGCCTACAGTATGGGAGCAAATTTTTACCAAATGCACATCAGATAGCACACTAATCTCCAGGATATATAAAGAACTCAAAAAACTTAACACAAAAAAAATCTAAAAAACTCATCATAAATGGGTTAAGGAGCTAAACAGACATCTTTCAGAAGAATATATACAGTAAATCAGTAAATATATGAAAAAATGTTCAATGTCCCAGTAACTGGGAAACACAAATCAAAACTCCTCTATGATTACATCTCATTCCAGTCAGAATAGCAGTTATCAAGAATACAAATAACAATAAGTTTTGGTGAGGATGTAGAGGGAAAGGCACACTCATACTTTGCTGGTGGGACTGCAAATTGGTGCTACAAATCTGAAAATTAATACGGAGATTTCTTTGAAAATTTGAAATGGAACCACCATTTGATACAGCTACTCTACT